CCACATGAGAACAACAACAGTTACAGTTTCACGAGAGGGATGAGGGTTGTATGCATTTGCATAGTATATAGAGAGGTGATTGCATAATAGCTCAAAATAAAGACTTACTCTTGTATATTGTATGTGGGTGGTGTGTGTGCATGTGTGAGGGAGCGTGTGGAGAGTGGGGGGTGTGGGTGTGTGTGTGAGGATGTGGGGTTTGTGGGGGATGCGGATGTGTGGGTGGGTATGCATGTTTGGGGTGTGGGCTTGGGGTTTCTGGGGGTGTGTGGAGGTGTGGGGAGTGCGGGGGTATGTGGTGGTTTTTGAGGGAGGGTGTGGGGGAAGGTGTGGGAGGTGTATGTGTGTGTGTGGGTATGATGGGGTCTGGGGGGGTGTGGGCCCCCCCACACACACACATACACCCCATGATGCACATCCCCTGCTGCTGGTGGCAGCAGCACTAGCAGGCAGCAGGCCCTCAGGATGCTCATGGCCCACAGCAGGCAGAGCCCCCTGGTAACATGGCTTCAGCCAGGAGCTGCATGTGGCGGCAGGGAACTGGACCAGGCTGCCAGCTCCATTGCATGTGGCTCTCAAGTGAGTCCCAGGAGCTGCATATGAGCCACAGGGAGCCCCACACAATGGGGCCAGGCCAGCCCTGAACTCCCACTGAGTTGGAGTGGGAGCTGCTGCTGTCCCACCCTGGCCCCGCATTCCCTCCAGCCCTGGAGCTGTCATAGGCCCTGTGCTCCCATTGGCCCCAGCCCTATGCTCCAGGCTCTGCGTTCCCACCAGCCCCAGAGCCAACACCTTGCTCCCACCCAGCTGCAGCTTCCCCCCTGCCTACCATTTCCTTATCTGCTGTCCAGAGTCTGCAGCAGGGACCACAGGAGAAGCCACTGGAGGCCAGGGGAACTAAGCAGTTCCCTGGGCAGCTGCAGAAGCAGCACCAGCAGCCCTACCTGAAAACTGTGTGCACTTGCTGGGGCCAGGGCTGAGGCCAAAACTGGGGCCCCCCCCATGGGCGAGCTTGGGAGTGCACATGCTGCCTCCACAGCTTGCCCCAGGTGGAGCACAGCAGGGGCAGCCAGTCTGAGCCAGATCCAATTAATTAGTGAGCACCCGCTGGGCCATATTCAGCTTGTGAGCCCCTGGCATAGGCTCATGCAACATCCTGGAGGACTGTGCCAGCAGGCTTCAAACTGCTCGGAGCCAGAGAAGTGTGTGGCTGGAGAATGCAGCACAGGGCAGCCTTTTAGAGGATGGGGCTGGTGCCCAGGTAGCTGTGGCCAGCTGTAGCTGGTACCTGGACCTTCCCCTGGCTGCAGCAGCAGGCCAGGAGCATCCCTGGCCTAAACTGCTCCCCCGGGCTCAATTTGCTCCCATCACTGGGTGTATGAGTAGACGCTGTGCCCAGATCAATTTTCTTTGGTGTAAACTGCCCTGGAGTAAATTCAGTTATATTAACTGCACGTGTAGCTGTGCCCTATATGCTCAAATGATCCTAGGAAGAAGCTCATGTTCAGCACTATAGAGTAAAATGTCAGAGTGTTTGCCAATCAGTTAAAAAAAAATCTGTTAAAAAAAGAGGGGAAAAATCCTTCTTTCCCCTAAATCTGGTGATTGACTTGATTCTGAGCTCAAGTATAAAATTGTCCTGCCATATAATTAAGTGCACATTTGCTTCACAGCAACACATGCCCTGGCTGGGACCTCCTGAGAATGTCCTGCTCACCTCTGCCTAGAAAACACTTCCAAACTAGAAATACAGAAGTTAAGATGCTCCAAGGCACCTCGCTGTGGCTGATCTTGAGGCCCAACATGTTTGAGACCAACACTGGTGCCCCTGGAGCATCCTTCTGGTACAATTCCAGATTTTAAGTATGTGTGCTGTAGACTATTCTCTCCCTCTCCCTTCTACTTCTGCAGGTACAGCTTACTCTCTCCTTCCCTTTCTCCCTCCCCCTTCCTCTAAGGCAGGTACTGTTTATGGGAAGTAAGCTCTGTTTTCCTCTCCCTCCCCTCTCTCCCTGACATTGGCAGCCTGTCCCTTTTTTTCCCTCCCCTACCAGAAGGGAGTAGTGGCCCATGGTGCAGCCAGGAGGCAAGCACCCTGCCAGGGAGCTCCACCAATTTAAACTATTAAGCATGCACCCTTTGACAGACCTTTACTAGCTTCTCCATAAACCTGGCTAGAAAGAGAAAGAAGAGAGATTTGATACTGTGTTGCAGTTGGCAATATATCCAGAGACGTGTTTGAAATGATGCCATAAAAATCAGTACTGATATGAACATGGGAACCTCCTTAGCTGGTCACTTCCAAACCAACACTCTTGGTCAAAAAGAGAATCAAGTGTGCCATATTATTATGTTTAACTCCTTATTTTATGAAAGGGTTCCTGAATACCTACCTACCTATACTTTTCTGTGTTTTCTGGCCCAAGTAGGAAAAAGTTATGAGGAGGTTCCTAGTCCCTTGTATGGGAGCAAAAACTCAGAAGGTACAATCCAACCAAGATTCAGAGAATCCCATCCCTCAGGGATAAAGGAAAGGGTGTTTGGACTCTCAACTAGATTCTTGCATGTGGACACATGGTTAGGAAAGCATTGGCATTTGTACTCTAGCAAACTGGAACTGAATACTAATTGCATTGTTGCCCTGGCCTATATGCACAAACTAATGTCTTCCAGCAAGGCAAAACTGAGCTCAATCCTTCACACAGAGCACAGCATTTCTGTAAGAGCTAGCACTATATCTGCCAAATGCTGACTAGACAAAAGATAGTGAGCTGCACTTTATTTTACTTATTATTAGTAATGGTAGTAGCCTGTTGGCCTGAAAATAGCTTCTGATTTTTATAAGAAACTTTTATAATCAATTTATGAAACAGGTTTTAATTAGAAAGCTGTATAAATATATGCGGAAAACAGGGAAGATGGAGTGTAGCAAACTATTTGTATACACATTTGATCATGAAAGAACTGGGTCAGTGTAATCCTTATCCAGTTGTATAATCTATATAGAAAATGTAGCCATGTTCTTAATACATTTTATTTTGCAGCTTTGTTAATGCACATGTGTTTGTTATGATCGTTTGTAATTGCATTGTGCGTTAGCTAGGGGAATGTCTTAGAAAGAAAATTACTGTTTTCTCACAGTCAGAAAAAGCTATGTATTGTTTCCTTCCCCTTATTAATCTGTTTCCAAGGGGCAAAGATAACTGCTGCAACAGCTTGCTTCTGATTGTCCCTGAATAATGCTTAGCTACTTTCTTCTCTCATTCTATTAAGAAATCTGTGTGTCAGTTCAGACTTTTGATTTTCCTTAGAAATAAAGACATGATGCATTTCATACAATATACTGTATATAAGGTAATATTAGGATAGAAAACTACTTTAACTCTGTACTTTGTAATGCACTGGAGATATAAAAAGCTTCTGGTGTGCAAATGACCTCATCCGGGTTTTCAGGCAGTCATTTTCAGAATCTTTAAAAATGTCCTAGCTATAGGACAATTGATTGTGAAAACAGGAATTTTGATTTTTTCACCTTCAAACTTAATTGTCTTTAAAAAAGAAAAAGAAAGCCAGCACTGATATTAGTTTCTTTTCCACCATTTGTTCAGAAGTATATTTATTTGCCCTCAGATAGTCAACTGTGTTTTCAATGTACAATAGCTAACTCAGGCTCTATACTAGAAAGCTCCACCAATTTAATTAGAAAGGATAGATAAATCAATATAAGCTCCCTGGAGCAGATATATTTGTATCAGTATGAAGGTGCTTTATAGCTATTCTTGTACGGAAAAAAGGGTAGGCTAGACTGGTATACGTGCATCCACAGAAGGATTTGAACTAGTATACCTATATTGGTAAAAGAAAATCATATGCCTAACTAACCAAAACTATGTATAGATCATGTCTCAGAAGGAACTGACAAAATAGGTAGGCTTAAGGACCTAATCTTACTCATTTTATTCATGGAATATTATTATTTATATTATTAAAATGAGCAGGATTTGGGCTTGATTTTCAAACTAGTAAGATAAATGAAAAACAGTGGCCTCAGTTCCTGTACTCATATAGATACATGAGATTCTCAGTCTTTATTTAAAAAAAAAGTTTCCAGGCTGCATGATTGCTGGGGGAAAAGCATGAAAATATGATCCCAGATTACCATAACTGTTCAAAATCAGAAGGCCAAATGTATATTATGATTTTTAAGACAATATTATGGTTGTGGGAGTATGCTCCATATTTTTTGAATGTTTGGGAGTGGCAAGCCAAGCTTAGACCAAGCTGCACAGGGAAGTTATGGATTCTCTGTCACATTAAGTTTTGAAGAAAAGGCATCTGTCTGAAATGTTTAGGAACAGTGAATTCTCGCATGTGTCCTGGAAGTGGACTAAATGACACTTTGCTTTCCATCCAAACTTACAATTTTATGATTTTGAGTGGCCTTTTGAAACATGGATTTTTTTATTGTAAAACTTGAGAGAGACCTGTTGTCTTCATGATTTCCCATTCCTTTGTAGCAGAATTGCTGTTTTGCTTTCAATAGGGAGGAGACAAATCTATGCAAAATGATCCTAGTGTACTAAAATGTTCCATCCATAACTCTCAAGTTTTTCACTTGGCATGCTCAGGGCATGTCATCATGGATCACGGTCTCCAAGAACACCTTCAGCACTCACTCTCTTCACTCCCCATGGGGAACCAACGTATGAGTGGCTGGCGTTGTTACCTTGGCTTTTAATACAAAGCACTTTCCAATGATGCTTGGCACCTCCTTTTGGAAGTCCCCTTTCCACCTCTGCCGCTGCCCAGCCTCACAAAGCTGCATTCAGCCTACGTTCTGCTGCGTCTTTACCTCACCCCTGCCCCTCCCGCTTCCCGCCGGGGCCAGGAGCTCTGAGCTCCAAGCGAGCACCAATCACTAGGCCGTCTCCTAGCCCCGCCCCTCCCTGCTCCTTTTGCCCCGCCTCGCCTCCTGAGCAAACGTCACTTCCGGCGGGCTCGGGGAGGATATCCGGGCTGTCCTGTCCTTTCTCGTCCGGCGGTTTCCACGGTAACTGTCCCCCCCTTCCACGCGCCGCGGCCTGGATCTGAGGTGCGACATCAGAGCTTTCCCCGTCGCTCGTCTCCTTCCCCCGACAGGACCCGCGTGATGTCCACTCCACCCCTGGCCGGGGCAGCGATGCCCCCCGGCGCCTTCTCGGGCCCGCAGGCCCAGGCCGCACGGGAAGTGAACACCGCCTCTCTCTGCCGCATTGGCCAGGAGACCGTGCAGGACATTGTCTTCCGGACCATGGAAATCTTTCAGCTGCTGAGGAACATGCAGGTGAGAAACGCTGCCCACCTCCCCTCCCCCTCCGCCGGGTCTTTCCGGCCGGCTCCGGGCACAGGTCGCTCGTGCTGGACCACTCGCGGGCTGCAACGACGTGGACTCAGCATCTGTCCTGGCAAGTCGCTTGGATGGCGAGTTCCTGACCCTGCTGCGTGAAGGGCAGGGGTCAGGGGTGGGCTGGGAGGCTGTTTGTAGGCTCCTGTCGTGTCTCTGTTGAGCGACCGTCTTGCAAAGGTGGCAATCTCCAGTTAGGACTTTTGTTTTTGCTTTTAAGTTTTGAGACCAAAGCAATGCACTTGTAAACAAATTGCATTGCTGTATTTTGCTGCCCCTCAAAGAATAGTTCTGCAGAGACCTTTTCACAGATTTCATTAGGTCTGGAAGGGACCTCAAGAGATCATGGAGTCCAGCCCCCTGCCCTAGGGGCAGGAAGTCAGCTGGGGTCACAAGATCCCAGCAAGATAAAGGTCCAAATGTCCCTTAAAGGAGTCCAGAGTAGTTGCTTGCACCACCTCGGGGGAGTCTGCCTCAGGCCTTGGGGGCTTGGACAGTAAAGAAGTTTTTCCTTATATCCAGCCTAAAACAGTCGTGGAGGAGTTTGTAACTGTTTCACCTTGTCATCCCTTGGGGCGCTCTGGTGAACAGGCATTCCCCCCAGATCCTGATGTTACACCCCGATGTACTTATAGGCAGCCACCAGGTCCCGCCAAGCCTGCGTTTTTCCAAACTGAAGAATCCCATTTGATCAGTCATATTCCATAATACTGTTTTCTAGCCAAAATTGAGTCTTATACTCTTCATATTCTTTCCCTAGTCCAGAAATGGCACAGGTAATCTTGGCTAGGAGGCTGTTTTCTGAGAGAATTAACAAACTCTTTCCTGGATGTAGTTCTGTTTTGAGAACAGACTCTTATTCTCGAAACATGTAGGCAGGTAAAATCAGCATGTTTTCTTCCTGTCGTGCTTTTTTTTTTTTAAATTTGCTTAGAAATTACCTGTTGCTATTTTGTAATTTTGTTTAGGTACAAAAATATTGCAGAAGAATTGGGCAGTGGGTCCAAAAAACTATGAATAATAGTTTGATAATTTTAGAATGGTATCTAACATCGTTCCTCATGAATTTACATATTTTAATTTAAAAAAAAAAAAAGGATGAGTGTTGCATCCATGATACAACTCTGTGCCAGGGAAAACAGCATATGCCAGCTGAGATTCTGCAAGGTTTGCAGAGATGTCTGTGTGGACTCATTTTACTGTATTTACTTGGGTACCACATACACTTTTTCTACAAAATCACCCATCCTAGCTGTGTTATGCATCTTAAGTAGGGAAGGTGATTTTTTTTTTTTCTTCCTTCTCTGGAGTAGATGACAACCATCAATCCTCCTGGATCATAGTATATGCATATACCTGGACAGAAATTTTTGGAGGAGTGAAGGCTGCCCAGACCTTCCATCCTCCCTTTAGGCCACTGAATCCAAAGACCAGACTGAGCCCAGATGTTTGGTGCCTCCATGGCTGTAGTTGAAGTGTCTGGGAATTGAACCCAGGTCTCTTGTGTGGTAGAAAAGGATTCTACCACTAAACCACAGGTGAGTCCTCTGGAGTAGAAGCAGCATTGAATACAGCAATATTTTTGGCCAGGGTGCTGAAAGAAACATGTCTACCGTGTAAGGTGCCAGAGTGCTGGCATGCCAGAAAAACAAAACCAGAGTTGGGTGGTACGTGGCAGGACGCACTGTATAGTAATGTAGTTAATAATAATAGATGTTGCCTTTTTCAGTAAATACCAGGTTTTCTAAAAATTCTAAACCTGGTGACAATAAATAAGATTTCATATACTACCTTTGTATGCCTTCTAACTGTAACTTTTCCTGAAGTTCACGCAAACAATGTAAACAGGCAAACAGAAAGCAGAAAATCAGAAAGAATTGAATTACTGAAATATTTCCAAGAAGGCATTCGGAGAGCAGAAAAACAAAAAGGTGTGCATTATGAAATGTTTAAATGTAGGAATGCAGAGTAGAGAGATTAAAATAAACTGAATAATGAACTGTTTTAAGCAAGTAAAAAACGGAATAATATGACCTAGTTTGAAAGAGCAGAAACTAAGTGTGAATCAATTTTAACAGAGCAAAGTAAACTGAATAATATGCAACATTAGCTCTCAGTTTGCAAAGCACAGCACCAGCACCAACAGACTACTGCATGTTGGTGCTGGTGCTGTGCTTTGCAAACTGAGAGTTTAGCTGCCGCCCAGAGCCACATGCTTCCCTCGTGTACGCAGAGGGGAAGGGGCTTCTAATGTCTGTGGCGGTGCTGAGCACTTCACAGAAGTTCATAAAAGCTGCAGCACCACGGCAGGCCCCAGGGGTGGGGTCAGGACAGCGCAGGCAGGGACGTAGTCTGCGTTCGCTGGCCCTGCCCTCTGTGCCTGTGGCTGAGTTTGAACCTTTGTGACGTGCTCAGCATCACCACAGACATGAGGGTATGGTCAGCAGAACGCAGACAGTGTTTCTGCCTCCCTACTTACGCTCTCCTCACCCCACCTTCGGTACCCGCTATTGTGCCAGGAGCTGCGGTTGCTTCAGAGAAGTAACTTAAAAAAAACTTCTTTTTTTTTTAACATTTTCCTCGGCACACCTCCTGGCATGCTGAGGGAAATGTCTCCACATGCCACTAATTGGCATATGTGCTGGGGGTTTCCTGTCCTTAGAGTAGAGCAAGCAGATGGTGACTTGTGGCTGCCAAGTTGACTGTCACTTGTCCCTCAGACAGCAGGCATGGAGTCCAGTGTTAACCTTCTCACAGATGCTAGTGAGGCAGTAGCTTTTGGCTGAAGAGCCACTGAGCTGGCTGGGACTGAGCAGGCGACTGCATGCAGCCTATAATAGCATGATGAGTTTTGTAACGTGGAAGCAACACTTTATTATTTACAGAAACTTATATAAAGACTATATGCATTAAAGAAGTAAATCTTATGACTGCCCTTGCCACAGCCTGTGGCCTAGCCTTGTTGTTGTCCTACCACACCAGGAGGTTCCTGTTGCCAGCCCTCACCCAGCTCCCAACTGGCTCCTGGGATGCCACACTTCCTGGATGCTCTGTTTCCAGAAAGTCTTATTCTGGAGTCATGCAGCTGGCCATAACCGGAAAAATCTTTTCTCCCCCTACATTTTGTTTTCCAAAAACAGGGTATGTGTTGTATGTGGTAGGGGACAGCATGGTATGCAGGAAAATACGGTGACCAAGGTATAACCAGTTGGTTGGAAAATTACCTTCAACCAGATGAAAGATTTAAAAAAAATACAAAAGCTACATTTGTCTCCTTTACCTAAATTATTTTAATAAAAAAATAAACAGTCCAAGAAAATGTTGCTTTTAAGTTCAATTTAATTCATATATAATTGATTTAATAAATATAAAGTATCTGTCCAGGTCCTCTTTTTAATGCTTAAAGAAAGCCATATGCTTCTAATGCACCTAAATTGAGTGATAGAAATGAACATTATTATTTAATAACACATTTATTCTGTATTTTATGTAGCAGTACTAAAATTTTTTTTATGGATTTGATGGTTCAGTTCTTTTTGTGGGCATTTATGCTTATATATCCTTTCAGTACTTGGCTAAGATGGATCTCCACTAAACCGCTTTTGTTCTCTGAATGACCAGCAGTAAGAAAATGAGTTTTTTTACTTTGTTTCTTGGCCAGGCAGATGTGTGACACAAGGAATCTTGGATTACTATAAAGTTTATGAGTGTGAGCATTTTGTAAAGGAAAGAAATTGTCATTATTTTCACTTCTGACTGTAGGGAAAACTTGAAAAAGATTTTCTGTTTTGAATTGGGGTGAATGTGTGTGGATCTGTGTGATTTGGCACATCAAATCAGCAGATACAGTGCAGAGTTTTGCTGCAAAGAGAATGGGAGTAACATCCATGACTGTGTTAGTGGGCAAAGTGCATGTATTGTCATGTATTTAAAAATAAAAGGCGATTTTTGTAGGGTTATGTATACACTAAGAGATTATTGTAGTTCACAATAACTGCTTAACTGCATGATCTGACCGTTTCATAAATAGAAGCTAACCTGGGACCTTTTAGCCTTCAAAGAGAGAGAAGTAAATTACAGGCTTTTCACTTACTGGATAAAAAGTATGTGCGTAGCAGATACCACAGAATAGAAGACCCAAATTAAATCCCAGCTCCTTTTTACCATATGGTAAATTTTTCTATATGTCCATATCCTTATTTACTTTATTTTATTGGTGGAAGAGAGAATTTGTGTTAATACAGAAATAAATAAATAACTTGTTGTTTTGGCTTTTTAAGTTGCCAAATGGTGTCACCTATCACACTGGAACATACCAAGACAGATTAGGAAAGCTGCAAGAACATCTCCGTCAACTGTCAATACTCTTCAGAAAATTAAGATTAGTCTATGACAAATGCAATGAAAACTGTGCAGGGCTTGATCCTGTCCCCATAGAGGTAAGCATTTTGTTTTTATTTAAAATTGTTGTGGCTGACTGATATTTATTTTACCATGTGTCACTTTGTTAAACTGTTTCAGCCCAAAAAAAAAAAAAAGCTGCTTTATTTTAAATGAATCATAAAATTGGAGCTGGAAGGGCCCTCAGGAGGTCATCTAATCCAGTGGTTCTCAACTCTTTTTTTGTACCAGGACCCATTTGTAAACATCAATGGACAGTTCCAACTCAGTGCCCCTCACTCCCAACCCGCTGCCCCCAGTCCCCTCTGTGTGTGGGGGGATCGGGGGAGGAAGTGTAAGGCATAGGGGGCACCAAGCTGCCCCAAGCAGGCTGGAACTCTGCCAGCCTGCAAGGGAGAAGCCACGGTTTACCACGGTTTTTCTCCTTTAAAGGAGACTCTATTTTTAATATTTGCTCACAACCCTTTTATATATTCTTGCAACCCACTTTTGGGTCATGACCCATGGGTTGAGAAACATTGATCTAGCCCTTGCTCAAAACAGCGCCATCCTCAACTATATCATCCCAGCCTCGGCTTTATCTAGCCAAGTCTTAAGAACCTCTAAGGATGGAGATTCCACAACCTCTCTGAACAGCCTGTTCCAGTGCTTTACTGCCCTCCTGGTGAGAATTTTTCCTAGTATCTAACCTAAACTTCCCTTGCTGCAACTTGAGACTGTTGCTCTTTGTTTCCTTCCCCCCCCCGCCCCCCCCCCAAACTGCTAAAACATGACCTCATGGATACCTTTCAATACCTCCATTATGTATTGTGCTACCTCTCCATTTCCTTGAATGTCCCTTGTCTTGCGTATTATGAAACAGAGTGAAGAGATGTCTTATCCACATTGTCTGGAGCTTTCGGTATTTTGTTATCCCCCTTTCATATTCCTTCAGAGCCTGTTTATTTGTTCTGAAGTGAAAATATACTAGTACAGAAAGGAGAATGTGTTCACTAGCACATGTAGTTTGAAAAGGTGCAAGATGAGCTAAACATAATAGAATTATGTTGCTGGGCTGGGTGAACTTGTGATGTAAAGCAGTTATTTTTGCATTCAAAAGGAGAAGCTGCTGAGTCGTACGTAGTCTCCTTTCCTGTTCCTAGATTTCTTTATTCCATCAACAAAACTATCATCTTTAAAGACTTTCTTCTTATTTATTGCTGTACTCTTTTCTTTGATAGAAGTTATTGACCTAAACATTTTAATATAAATCTCTTTTCAGTGTAAATATATTAATAATTTAGTCAGCATTGTTTTACAGTTCAACTCCTTGTCAGGACATGAAGCAACTATGACATGCATCTTATTGCTAATTTAAGTTGATTAGACTCCCTGAATTTTGAGTGCTTTACTTATTCAACTTTAATGTTCTTAGTATTAGTAAATTTTATCAAATACTACGTTTATTAAAAGAGGGGACAGAGAAAAAAAGAAGCGAGATAAAAATTTACTTTCTAAGAAGTTAAATCAAAGGCTGTGAAACAGTGGAAGCCAATTTTTTTAGCGCATATGCCACAAGGTAAGCTCTGCAGCTTCCCCCAGTGCTATTCCAGTTCCCTTCCCCTGCCTGACCTGGTGTTTAGCTTTCTGCTCCCTGGTCTGTGCTCCCTGACTGATCTGTTGCTCTGCTTTCTGCCCTGTCTGCTGCTACATTCCCAGCTCCCTCCCACACCGGCTGCCAATACCGCAGGCTAGCATCCTGTACTACAGGCAAACATGGACTCGTAGTGGATTCAAATGTGAAGAGGGAGTTGCTGTTTGGGACTGGAGGTAGACTGTCCTCAGTGACCCAGAAGTGGTGTGATGCCACATGCCGGCTGCTGCTGTGCTGCACTGGCAGGACACGTGTAGTATCGCACCATTCCCAGAGCAGCTGCAGGAGTGTGCGAAGCCCAGCACACAGCAACAGCCACCTTTGCTGTGCACACCAGTCAAGAGGACACGTCTCCCCCAGGCCTCCACTGGGATGTGCACAATGGCAGGAGGCCCCCCCATGCCCCTGGATGAGCCACCCAGGCTCCGGTTGTCCCACGACCTGGCCCGGCCAAGACCTCATTCACCCCAGTCCCTGCCTCTGTCTGTACCTTACTCTCTCCCTCACCACAGGGGCCTCAATATGCCTTCCCCCCTGGGCCATTCCCCTACCCCACAAAGTTACCTGCTGGGGGGTGGGGGAAGTGCATGTGTGCATGTGCTCAGGCCCCCCCTCCCCAAATAATTTAGTATAAAGGGGTACATGAGCTGAAACTTTGAGACAGAAGGGGTACGCTTGTTAAAAAAGGTTGAAAATCCATCTTAGGTTATGGGTACTAGTCCCCACCCCCTCCTCACTCCTGCATTCTGCCTGCCCTGCAGATTTCTGACTGCTGCTGAGGTACCACACTGCTTCGCTTTCCCACTTCCTTGCCCAACCATGCCCTCCCCAAGCTAAAGGATAACCAGTAAGCCAACTGGCTATCACTGCACTTATCAGTTAAATGATTAATTGTTTAACTTTTCACTTCCCTACTGGGTAGTCCTAATTGCTTCTCCACTTTCGAAGACGGTTCAAGTGTATGTTGGTACCTAAAATCAGTTTTCTGAGAGCATTTAACATGGTGATGCTTTTGAAATTAGGACATGGACATGCCAAGTTTTAAAGTCCCTACCCAGAGCCATTTTGTTCCTAGAACTGCTGTCAAATAATGTGTTGCATTTTTTTTTTCTGTTTTGTTTTTATATTGGGGAAAGTCTGAAGTGGGCAGTAGGTTTTACTCTTATACCTTAAGATGAGCATTTTGTGTTTGCTTAAAAAGCCCTTGAGCAGAGACCCATTCTGCAGCATTACTGAAACTTTCACTCTTAGTGCATTAAGTTTATAAATGTGGTGGATACGAGGTAACTGCTTGTGCCATTTGAACTATAACAGAAATATTGGACTGTGGCAGTAACAGTTGAGATTTTTTTTCTTTGCCATATTCTTTTAACCTAAATGGTTGAGTTTCCAGAGCCACACATGAGTATAAATTTGATTGAGAACATATTCCCTAATCCTTATCCTTTCTTTCCATATTTCCATTAATTAATATTCTTCGGTTTAGTTACACTGCCTTCACATCTGAAAGAAGGTAATTTTGCTGGAAGCTTCAAGTTTTGAGGACTCAGTTACTGTGTTGAAATTTATAGCATTCCAAAATCTCATTTTCCCCAGCATGGAAGGATAAAGAAGCAAGTAATAGACAATGGCTGCTTCCAGACATGAAAAAAAAACAGTGCTTTAAGCTTGGTGCACCCCTGCACCAAAAACAGCACATACCAAGGCATCACATTAATTTGACCTGGCTCATTCAGCGTCTTTATAGATTGTGTGCTTCAGTGAGGCTTTTTGGCACTTTTATTTAATAGTTGATTGAACTAGCTTTAGATAAAAATGCCAAAAAGCCCCACTTAATTGCACAGTCTATACAGACACAGGGGAGCTGAGTCAAAATAACGCACTTCCTCTTCTGGTAAAGCGCTGGTTTGTGGAGTGGTTTTGGGGGGGTTTGTTTGTTTGTTTAATTGCATCTGTCAGCAGCCTACGTATGCAGAGCCCATTAACTATAAGCCATTATTAAAAAATCTAACAGGCTAATGTTCTTAACTTGTACAGTAGTACTTTTCATTGCATAGAAAAAAAAATAGTATCCTGTGGGGGGTTTTGGAGGGTTTTTTCCGTAAAGGAATGGTACTGATATTAAAATCCATTCAGGTCTACTTCATCAGTGATTTTTGGCTTCAGACCAGTTGTATTCACTATGGTAATTTTGCAGGAAATGATGAATTATGTGATATTTGAGCTGAGCACTATTACAACTACCCAGAGAGGTGGTAGAATCTCCATTCTGGCAGGCTTTCAAGACCCAGCTAGACAAAGCTTTGGCTGAGATGATCTAGTTGGGGCTGATCCTGCTTTGAGCAGTAGGTTGGACTAGATGACCTCCTGAGATCCCTTCCAACCCTAATTTTCTATGATTTCTTTAAAGCCAAAGTCTTATTTGACATCTTTTTTTGTCAAGATTCTTTTAGGTGCATCCACAATATACAAAGTTCAAAAATAAAAAGGTGGTTGGCATGGACTTAAAAATAACAGTTGGACTTTGTCCTTTACAGGCCATGTTGAAGATTGTGCAAGTACATTGGCCCAGGTGTTGCTCAGTGGGGGATTGTATTTGTTCAAAGCATAATCTTTCCCTGGTGAGCGGGACAATGTATGCAACCATTGTGCAGGCCTTTCCAGGCCCCTGTATGCATACAAGTAAAGGTGCAATGGGATCTAACACATGATCCACACAATCACGCCTCCTGCCATGCCACACATATATGGCAGGAGGTATGATTGTGAGAGAGTGCTTTAGATCCCATAGAGCCTTTTTGCCAGTACAGGGGGAGCTTGATTCTGGGCTTCCTCTACTGGCAAAAAGCAAGCTCCCATGCCTGGGAAGCTCTTCAACTGCTGGGCTCCCAGCTAAGGGGGCACCCCACACATCCCCAGATGTAGCTCTTGTGATCTCCCAGCCTTGTGGGCTCCACACACCCCTGGGCCTGGGACATCACAGCCACACCCTGCAGCTGCCAGAAACCAGCTGAGTTCCCCCACTGGGAGTGATGATGCCAGGACCCAGCATCCAAGCTGTGGGACTGTGGATCTTAACAGCTACAGGGTGCTGCTGCGACCCAGAGTGAAGCTGTGGGACTCTGGATCACGGCAATTGTGGAGCTCTGCCATGGCCCTCAGTTGCAGGACTCAGCTCCAGCTCAGTATGGTGCACCCCGGTGCCTGAGAGTCCAGCCACAGAGCAGACCCTGCTACCTATGCAAATTAAGGCTCGATAGCAACCAGCTATAATCAGTACACATTTTCAAGGTCCAACTTTATAGCTGGTTGGACTTTTTTATGGCTTGTAGCTGGTTTCATTTAATTGCACAGTACCTGTAACATGTAGAGCGGGACTTGCATATAAACCATGTCTCCATCTCCTCTGTTTAGGGCAGTTTGCACTAGTTAAAAAAAACAAGTGCTGCCTCCTAATGACCTCCTGCTTGCAGCATGCAACTAGAGTGTTTGTTTTGTATAACAATTTGTTTGCCTTCGCAGCAACTTATTCCATATATTGAAGAGGATGGATCCAAGCATGATGATCATGGGGCTGCCAGCCAGCTTCGTTTTGCTAGTGAGGAGAGAAGGGAAATCATGGAAGTAAATAAGGTACCAAAGAGTTTCACTTGCATACAACAGAAAACGTGTTGCTCTGTAAACGTGCAGCTTCTGTTGTTACGTTGCTCCAAAAATGCAACGTTTGCTTAATTGGCCTCACATCACAACTTGTTCAGTAGTAAATATTTGTTGTACATCAGGACAACATTCAAATTTTTGTTGCCCTGGCTGAATGCAAAATTAAGGTTCCTGACTCAATTCTTCACAGTCCTTCATAGTCAGCGGTACTAAGTTTAGTTCCACTTCTAGTATCTTCATTGTAAGAAGATGACTGATTATTGTCTTGCTTAGATCCCTCTCCTAAAATAGTGGATAGCACAAGATATAGAGAAAGTCAGATGTGCTTTGTCTGTATTTACTTGCATACTGCGCTTGCCTTTTGCACAAAAATTAGCCATTCAAAACTGGTGTGTGTGTTAGCTGAGAGAGCTGATTTCAATGGAAGCATGGAAATGGTGGAATGGCTGCCAGGGCCATGCTTCCTTCCCAGGCCCATGCAGGAGAGACAGGGTTTTGTTATGAGTGTCACTTCCCTCTCCTTGCAGCTCCAAAGCTAAAGGTTTGACCCTGTAACAGCCACTGATGAATTGGCTGCAGTTTTTGGCTGAGCAAAAGCCAATTCAGCAGTAGCTGTTAGGGTTAAATCTTTAGCTTTGGAGCTGAATAGAGGGAGTAAGTGATACTAAGTACTGGACTTGCCTCTTCCTCTATGTTCTCTGCTTGGTGTTACCCCTTGGCATCCTTCTTACTAACCTATGACATTTACTCTTGTCCCTGATTGTTTTTGTCCCCAGTAATCAATTAGTATGCATCTTTCTGTAACCGAGGAAGGTGTATGGTTTTCCAGGTGAACTAGGCCCGCTGCCCCATGTGCTTTTTTCTGCTTTCCCAGACCAAGGTATATGTTATAATTGGGTGTGTGTGTGGTATGCCAAACAGTAGTCTTATCAGAGCAGTGTTGTGGATAAGGAGGAGTGCAGAGGGCTTCAGTTTGTATTTTGACAAATGGAGGGAGAGCTTTTTTTTTATGCCAGTGACACAACCAGACAAAAAAGGAATGGTACATGCTAGAAATACTAGCACTTTAGCATTGTGTTAAATTATCAGTGTGTGAATGACAGGTACAGTTTTAATTACGATTTGATTAAAATCTAAAATGCATGACATTGGCCTTTTCTACAGTGTACCTAGGTTACTAAACTTGTAGTAGTTCTAAAGCATAATTCTGCACATTGTTCTTTCAATCCGTAAAATATAAAGGTAAGTTACTAAGTATTTGAGGGAGTAAAATAAGCAGACTAGTAATTGTCCGGCAAAAAGTAGGACACACGTAAAATAGTAGGGGAAAAAAACAAAGAGGAGAAGGAGTATCTAGATTCCAAGTAAATAAAATACTCTTGTAAGGAAAAACATTTGAAAAACTGAAACCCACTAAAATCTCTTCTTTGATATTTCATCTCCTCTCTTTGCTAATTAGGCTTGGAAAGATGGTATGAAACTCTCTAATCACGCATGCATTCTGCACAGGGAATAAATGGGGACAGCATGTGAATGTAGAGGAAAACAGTTGTCAGCTTTCTTGTATTTTATCTGTTACATGTCAATGTAGCCGGATCGTATATATTAAATCCTATGTAATGTTATACTATGAATTTATGCACATTAATTTGCAATCTTTAACTGTTAATAAGCTTAACTGTCTATATTTGCTGTGTTTTTGATAGTTTTATGACATGTTTTTGCCCTTGTTGTTGTACTTGTATGCTAATTTGTGTTTAAACCTCCTTGGGATGATCTTGTGAAAGGAATTTCATAAATGTTTATGATGGGAGCTAAATCTTATTTTTAACAAAATAGGTTGATCATAATGTGGAGGTTTTCTTGGCAACACCATAATTGGGATTGCATGGATATTTGCCCTGAACTTCTTCTAATTTACACTTAAATAACTGAATTTAGTCTTCAGATTTCCAATAAAAAACCTTTGAGAGAACAATTAAACTTTTTCCATAATATTTCTTCAGATAAATATTTACCAACTTCTCCAGTTCCCCCTGTTTGCCGTTGGATTTTTCTCCTGTTCTGTCTCCCTCTAAATAAAAAACTACAGTGACCATTATCTTCATAGAATCATTGAAAAATAAGACTGGCAGGGATATCAGGAAATTATCTGATCTAGCCCGCTTCTCAAGGCAGAATCATCTCTGTTTAAACCAGGGGCATCAAACATACAGGCCAGATCCAGCCTGCAGAGCCCTACTATCCAGCCCCCGTGCTACCCCTGGGATCTCATCAGACCGATGCAGGGCATGGCACATGCCTGTGTCACAGTGTCAGATCAGACACACAGACCTCCTTCATTTTCCCCGTTCCCTTTTCCCAGCATAATGGATCTGGCAGCTACTCCAGCTGGTCTAGGACCCATGCAGCATGTGGCACAGGTCCTGTAGCGGCCAGAACGCACAATGCATGTGGTGCACTCCAGCCAGAGTGGCAGCCACACTGCATGCAGTGGCTGCCCCAAGTGGATTGCACAGCATGCAGTACTCACTGCAGCTAGTTTGGGATCAGTGCTGCACACAGTATGGGTCCCATTCAAGCTGGAGCACTATGCCACTCATCTGGTCCCACAACACCCCTGATCTAAACCATCTCATCCTCGTGTTTGTCTACTCTGCGTTTAAATTTTTCCAAGGACGGAGATTTCGTTATCTCTTTAGCTAATCTCTTCCAGTGCTTAACCACTCTCATAATGAGAAAGTTCTTCCTAATATCCAGCCTAAATTTCCCTTGTTAAAATGTAAGGCTGTTACTGTTACTATTCTGCAGCCAGGGGCTATTAGTTTATCCTCCATATATGTACCCTTTACATATTTGAAGACTGTTATCAAATGTGCCCTTGTAGGTCATGTTTACTAGAGCTCTAACCACTTTTTTTGCTTTCTGCTGGACTCCGTACAATTTGTGTACATCTGAGTGTTCAAAAGCACATGGGTGATTTTCATTATGTTTGATGAATAGGAAGTTTATGAATTTATTAACTAGGAATAGTAAATCTTCCTCCCTGATGTTTTTCTCCTAAGAAAAGCCAATGGAACCAGATCCATCATTTATTTCAGTCTCTGCTTCCTTAGCCATACCCAGTTTCTACCAAGAGTTCATCCTGGCTCTGCAACCTTCAGGCTTCAGGGATGTATGTAACAGTGTCTGCATATTCACTCAAACGCCGCATTTATTTTTAAACTTACGCTTTGTGTTATATAGAACCGGGGGTGGGACTTGATGTAGTGCTTGAAGAATCGGGGCTTTTTATTGAACACCTTATTCATTACTATTGCCAACTCTACATCAGTTTTCTCTTCTGCTCCTGCCTGGCCCTTTTTAGGTTGGAATCCAGCCATGGCATCTATGACAGAGAAAGTAAAAGAGGCTCAGTAGAGCATACAGTGACAGAGGGTGGCATTACCAGCTTGTGCTCTGGTGAATTTTAATGCCCTTTGAAATTTTCTACCATTAAGGGAAGCTGGAGGATAGAGGACTTGTTGAACCTGTTAAATAGGATTAGGTTCTCTGTCAACACAGCAAATTAAATGGGATAAACCATTCGCTAAAAGACCATTGTGTAAAAGCCAAACCTCTGACAAGAAACTTGGTTCTTCGGTTTAAACCTTGTTGTATGTGGACACAAGCCATAGTTAGTGCTTGCTGTGACAACAGAGAATTATGGATTCATTTTGAAAGCATGGTCTGGACAGGGCTGTGGTTCTCTCATTTAAATTACTGTATTTGTATGTATATTGCCTGTTTTATGGGGGAAGGGAAAGCACATAATCTACCTCAGTTGTTTGACTGTGGTAGTAGGTGCAAGGAATTCTTGATTTTTATTTCCTGGGATTTTTTTCATGTAAATTAATTGTCCTGGGTGTGAAGCAGCAGCAGAAGTGAGATGGCCAAACTTTGTGCTTCAGTTTTTTATCAAATAGTTACAGTGCTTCACAGGAATATTATTAGAGTTAATTTAGGTATGTACATAGAGGGCTTTAAAAATTAAACACTGTATAAATGCCAAGTGGTAGCATTAATAGCTGCCATTTTCAGGACATCTAAATAAGTTCTGCAAAGCTTTTAAAGATTTTGGAAGTTTGCATCCATTCTAAAATGTCAGTATTTTCCACAAGTTTCTTGCCTTTGCATCCTAGGAAATATGTGAAGTAATATGTGACAAGCTTAAAAAGCAGCAAGAAAGAAAAGATGTGTGCCTGGAAACACTCTAGAATACTCCAGTCTCATGGTGTTGCTGTGCTCGCGCTCTCTTCAGTTTTTTCCTCTTTTTTTTTATAGGTTCTTGTGATTCTGTCTTACCTAAGATCTAACCATTCATTAGTTTGAAATGCAGACCCATGTACAAGGCATTTAATAGGTAATATATTCCTGTCTTGGCCAACAGG